TAGCACAAGTATTGGGCCAAGGGAATGCCATGATATGGCAGCCCAAACCATCACTGATCCACCCCCATGCTTCACTCTGGGCATGCAACAGTCTGGGTGGTACGCTTCTTTGGAGCTTCTCCACACCATTACTCTCCCGGATGTGGGGAAAACAGTAAAGGTGGACTCATCAGAGAACAATACATGTTTCACATTGTCCACAGCCCAAGATACTTCACATGTAATCCTTGTTTTCTCAGATTTATAATTTCAAAACGAGACAAGTAGTCCCGGTCTGACAAGAAAGATCTGAACCAATTTAGCACAGTACCAGTAAAAGAAATTATATTGATTGAGCCTAGTTTATCTTCATTTTTATGTTGTTTAATTCAATTGTCTTTTAATAAATCATACATAGTACATCTATGTTTTAAAATTTTATGTTAATACTAGGGCTGCACGATATTAGATCTTGCATTTTTCTTTTTCCTCTCTTTCTCATCTGTCCTTCCATCACTTGTAACCTAGCATTTTAGGCAATGTAATTCGTGTGCAGTGTGAGCCTTTGCTGAACAGCAAATATTACATTAGCATGTAAAATGTATATTACATATACATTACATTAGCATGTAAAATGTAAGTTCATAACACTATGTGGATCTCCTACCAACACATCACTAATCTATACAGGAAACCAGACTTCAAGAAATTCATTAAGGACAAGCTTGTTAAAACAAAGGCAGAGAACATAAAGCTGAAACAAATAGAAAGCAAATGTTCAAAAAACACTCAAACATGAAACTCCCATGTCCTTGATTTTTTATATCATCTGGTAATCAAGGTCTACATAATTTTATAAACAGAGTAGTCAATCTTTTACACCCTAGACTGATCACAAATCCATCGCAGGGCAACACTCAAACAACCAAGCACACACCCAAGGGCAATTTAGAGTGACCAGTTAACCCAACAGGCATGTCTTTGGACTGTGGGAGGAAGCCGGAGTCCCCGAAGACAGCTCATGTATGCACGGGGAGAACATGCAAACTCCATGCAGAAAGACACCCGGCCAGGAGTCGAACCCAGGACCTTCCTGCTGTGAGTCAACAGTGCTACCAACTGCACCACCGTGCAGCCCATAATCTTTGTCAAAGCAATTTTTTGTCTGAAATAAATCACACAAAGAGGCCTGTGTCTCCACATTGTCATCCAGCTCATCGACCGCCTGTTAATTCCAATGTAGTTCAGGAATATTATGCTTCCTTTGATCAGAGAAAATCCAAATGCCTTTGAAAGTAACCTAGTCAGGTATTACCTTGTAGGTAATTAGGAAAACAATTTAGTTGTGCAGACGAGTAATTTCCAGACGACACAGAGGCTCAGCAATAGTTCAATGTGACACTTCGCTTGATTTATAGTATCACATTTTTCATTTAATACCTCTAAAAAAGGTGTTTCCAACATTTTCTTCACCTTGAAATGCATACAGTATTTGCATTTTACTAAATTGCGCTGTTTTTGCAGTAACCCAGGAGACCAATGTGCAGAGAGACTGATTGTCCTTCGGTGGCTTGTGGCATTGCTTCAGCAAAGGCACCCTCCTGCCAAGAAATGCTTGCAGTAATAATAATTTTAATTAACAGAAGTATTGATAGTTATTTATGGGACGTGTCCCACATTAAACCGTCTCATAGATTAGGCGTAAATGTATCACGCCTAAATGGTGTAATACAGCGTTTCTGCTATATCGCCTCTTCACATACTTACTTCAACCCACGGGGGATAATAACTCACGGGCAGGGAGGGCTTGTAAGTACAGCTGCTTGCTAAGTAGTTGAGCTCTTTATAAATGTCACACACATGCTCTTTTAATGAACAACAGAGGTTAAATTCAGAGCACCTGTATATGCACACAAAATTTAAAAAAGGGTGCTTTCATAATAGACAGATGTGCCACATTCCAACCATATCGCAAGACAACACAACAAGAGAAGCAGCAGAAAAATGAAAAGAGCAGTAAGTGATTTTATATACAGGTCCTTCTCAAAATATTAGCATATTGTGATAAAGTTTATTATTTTCCATAATGTCATGATGAAAACTTAACATTCATATATTTTAGATTCATTGCACACTAACTGAAATATTTCAGGT